CTCTGGGAGGGACTGGGTAAAAAAAAAGTAGTCCTTTTTCCTTATTTATAAGCTTAGGTGTCTAAAAACTTGTACTTCAAAGATTGTTTTTTTCCCCCCTCCCCAGATTATGTCTACTTTGAAAACTCTTCAAGTAATCCATATTTGATAAGGAGAATAGAAGAACTCAATAAGGTAAAAAAAAATACCAGTGCACTCAGTGACTTTTGAAGGTATTGGCTGTACTTGTTAGTTTTGCTAACAGTTTTTATAATTTTCAGCTAACTCTCAATTACCTTTTTGTAAAGTGATAGAATAATAAAAAAATGAAATAGGGGGTCAGCACATGGAAGGAAGAAGCAGGCAAACTGTCCCTAACCCATCCCCACTTATCCCCCTGGCTCACCACCCAATATTCTGCCACACAGCACAAAACTTTCGGATAAAAACCTGGCAAACCAAAGGTTTATGCTGCCTAGCAGACTTTTACAAAAATAACAAACCCACATTGACACAAGAAATACAAGACAAACTAGGAGACACCCAGATACCCTGGCTAACACACCACCATTTACATGCCTTCTTAAACAATACAGTGGTATCTCGGGTTACATACACTTCAGGTTACATACGCTTCAGGTTACAGACTCCGCTAACCCAGAAATAGTACCTCGGGTTAAGAATTTTGCTTCAGCATGAGAACAGAAATCTCGTGGCGGCGGCGGCGTGGCAGCAGCAGGAGGCCCCATTAGCTAAAGTGGTGCTTCAGGTTAAGAACAGTTTCAGGTTAAGAACAGACCTCCGGAACGAATTAAGTACGTAAGCAGAGTCACCACTGTACAGTGGTGCAGCGGTGTCCAAACTTTTTTCAAAGAGGGCCAGATTTGATGAAGTGAAGAGTCATTGGGGCCAACCAGAGGGACAACCAAATTTGTTAACCTTTTTTTAGGATTGAAGTTGAAGAGGTTTTTTTTTTATTTTACCCTAAGAAATAAACTGCCACAGAGGCTGGATTAAACTGACCGGCGGGCCGCATTAGGCCCCAGAAACGGACTTTGGACATGCCTGCAGTAGTGAAGTCAGCAGCAGCTAGGCCCATGATAATCTTTGAAAGCCTCCTCCTAACAGCAAAGGGTGGTATCCACAAAATACAAAATACTGCTCCAAAATCCCACAAAACCCATCAACATAATCAAAAACAATGGGAGGATGGCATAGACCCCACCCAATGGACTGGAATGTGGTCTAAACCTCTCTTTAAATCCATCTCAGCTAAAAGGAAAGAACTCAGATTGTACCTAAGGCAAAGGAAACTAGTGCTGATACGCTCAGGAGTCTCACCAAAATGCTGGATAGGCAGCGCCTCCACAGCACATACCTCCCCATGTGGTGGGATTGTCCTGAAATCCAAAATCTTCTGGACATCAGTCATGCAAGAAATATGCAAATAACTTTGCGGCTGCTTTGGGGGTATTCATTGTCCTATTTTGAAGTGAAAGTGTCTGCCACATTTAAAAATGTTTCCCATTCATTTCACTTGGACATGCTGCTCAGTTTCCCTTGTAGGAATACGAACAGCTATAGTTGTATATAGTTATAGCTGGGCATTAAGATAATGTAATAGAATTTTAAAATTGAGTATGAAATAATTGCATAAATATAAAAAGTCCATGGTGCTGACTCAGATATATGACAAAAGCTTGCTTTAAGTAAATCCTGTTCATAGACAGTCCTATAAATAGCCCTGTACAATGGCAGCTTATACATAGTATAAATATTATATCAATTTCTTTGAAAACTGGCCATTTGTGTGATTCTTAGTGCCTTTCATAATTTCATAATGATTAATCGAAATGAGTAATTGAAGCAACCAAAACAAGAGGTTACCGGACAGCATGGATAACTGTAGGAACTCTGTAACTCTCCAGTTCAGGTTGAAGTTAATGTGTCTGATTTCCCCCAGAGCTGATCTCTAGGTTTTAATTAGAAAATTGTCTTAAGATCTATAGTAACAGAATATAGTTTGATGTTTAGAATATTACATCGTACCTTTTTCCTTCACTCACTAATGATCGTGTGTACTAAAACGCAAAGAAAAATAATCAAAATGAAATCATTTGGTTGCAAAGTACATTATAAATTGAGTATTATAAAATTTGCATTCTGCTTCATTTTGGTTTTTAGTATTGGTGTTCTGTGGTGTAGTTAGTAATAAAGCATTTATATGCCTACCATTTAAGCTTCCCACCTGAAATTAAATTTTTATTATTATTTTGCTCACTATGACAGACAGCCAATGGAAACGTAGAAGCAAAAGTGGTGTGTTTCTATAGACGGAGGGACATCTCAAGCACATTAATTGTACTGGCTGACAAACATGCAAGTAAGCTTTCTATATTATTAACTTAAATTATAAACTGTTGACTTAGTTTTAAATAACATGCTAAAGGGAGCTGCTGGATGGAACGCAGTGTTGTGCTCTTCCAATTGTTTCGTCTGCACAAATGTTCAAGCATGCCAGACAGAATGATTCCCCCCTCCCCACTCCTCATGTTCCACCCTGGGGTTCTCTCAGAGACTCTGAGATTACATCCACAAGCTCCCTTGGATGCAGCTCATGAGGCCTTGGAGATTTGAATCCATTTAAAGTAGCTGGGTGTTCCCTTACCACCTCTATTCCTGTCTTGGGCTGCAGCTCCTTCCTTCCATCATTTATTCTGTTATCACCAGATGGGCATTGCTTTCCTTTTGGGTGAAGACAGAGGCAAAGGAGGTGTTGAGCTGTTATCTGTTACCCAATCGCATTTCTTCGTCTTTTCCACTACTCCACTACAGAGAACCTGCTACTTGCTTGTTCTTCACCCTGCTTCAAACATAGCTGAAGAAACCTTTGTTTTTAACTTCTGTTGCAAGTCAGAGTTCATTCTGAGCTTTGGCCTGCCTGACATTCCCCCTACAACTGTTGGTTAGTTGCATATACTCCTCCTTTGTGATTTTTCCTTTCTTCCATTTCTTATACGTGCCATTCTTAACTCTCAGCTCATCTGTAAACTCCTTATGCAGCCACACCAGTTTTCTAGATGCCTCCCACTTTTCTTCTTGTTGGAATTTTCTGCCTTTTTGCCTTCAACATTTCACCTTTAAGAAATCCCCATCCATCTTGGACTTCCTTTTCTTTGAGTATTTCTGACTATGGGATCTCACCCAGTAGTTCCTTAAGCTTTCTGAAATCGGCCTTAAAGTCCAGAGTGCATAACAATCTACCCTCAGCTTTCCTTTGGCTTTGTATCATGAGACCCAGGAGAACATGATCACTTTCTCCCAAGGCTTCCAGCACTTCCACTTCATCAGTCAGTTCCTCTCTGTTGATGAGGACCAGGTCCAAGGTAGATGATCCCCTTGTTGCTTCTTCAACCCTCGGGAAATGAAATTGTCAGCGGGGCAATGGAGGAATTTGTCAGACCCTACATTCTTGGCCACTGGTCCCATCACCTCCTAGCAAATAGAAGGGGAAGAAATGGAGGCAATGAGAGATTTTACTTTCTTGGGCTCCATGATCACTGCAGATGGTGACAGCAGCCATGAAATTAAAAGACGCCTGCTTCTTGGGAGGAAAGCAATGACAAACCTAGACAGCATCTTAAAAAGTAGAGACATCACCTTGCCAACAAAGGTCTGTATAGTTAAAGCTATGGTTTTCCCAGTAGTGATGTATGGAAGTGAGAGTTGGACCATAAAGAAGGCTGATTGCCAAAGAATTGATGCTTTTGAATTATGGTGCTGGAGGAGACTCTTGAGAGTCCCATGGACTGCAAGAAGAACAAACCGATCCATTCTGAAGGAAATCAGCCCTGAGTGCTCACTGGAAGGACAGATCGTGAAGCTGAGGCTCCAATACTTTGGCCACCTCATGAGAAGAGAAGACTCCCTGGAAAAGACCCTGATGTTGGGAAAGATGGAGGGCACAAGGAGAAGGGGACGACAGAGGACGAGATGGTTGGATATTGTTCTCGAAGCTACCAGCATGAGTTTGACCAAACTGCTGGAGGCAGTGGAAGACAGAAGTGCCTGGCGTGCTCTGGTCCACGGGGTCACGAAGAGTCGGACATGACTAAACGACTAAACAACAACAACAACAACACATTCTTGGCAGAGCTGAGTTCCAACAGATCATGGGGAAGTTGAAGTCTCCCATTACTAATATATATCTCCTTTTTGAATGCTTGGTAATCTGCTCTAGGAAGACATCATCCAAACCTTCAGTCTGTCTTGGTGGTCTTTAGCAGACACCTACAGTAATGTCACTGTTGTTTCTCTCTTCTGAAATGTTCACCATTATGCTCTCAGTCTTCCTTCCATGCTCCAAGTCTTGGATCTCTTCACATCCTTTACATATAATGCTACTCCTCCCTTCCTGTTTGGTCTATTCCTTTTGATAGGTTATACCCCTCTCAATTTCTATATTCCTGCTAAACTGACAGGACTTGCTTCTGAGTAAACTTGCATGGGATTAGACTGTGCATGCATAGATCTGTCACAGTGTCTACATGTCTGTCAGCTTAGTGCCACAGCAGCTGCAATGAAGCTGTAGGCAACTATTATGCTTTCAATAAGTCCTAGAAAAAGTGGTGAAATAGGATTTCTGTTGAAGTGGTTGGGCTCTAAGCCTTAGCAGCTGCTTGATGATGTCAACATCTGATGCCTCCTCTGGTGTAGTGAATGACATCAACCTTTTGGGCATGTCCTAGCCCGGTAACCATGAGACCAAGGTAGTTCACAAATTATGCAGTGAGTTCACTAATTCTATTTTCTTTGCATCCCTAGCATGCACATGCAAATCATGACCTGAAGCAGGAGATAACAGGGTTGCATCTTAAAAAAAAAAAAAGTTGGCCATATAGCAATGTTCTGTTACAAGAACGATCTGATGCTATGCTGGGTAGTTAAATTTAAATGTAAAAATTGCATCTGGCAGTGCATTGAAGTACTATTTCAACCGTCTTCACAGATTAATGCTATTTCATCTTCAACTAGGAGAAATGGAAGAAGAGATGGAAAACCCAGAAAAGATTGATTTACCAGAGAAACAGAAACATCAACTGCGACACCGAGAACTGTTTCTCTCACGTCAATTGGAATCCTTACCAGCCACTCATATTAGGTGTGGACTGAATAATTAGATTTTTTGTGTAATGGTTTTTAATAAACCTAAGAACATATTTGTATTTTACGTAATGCAGGCATTCCAAATGCCCTTTTTTCTCATCTTATTTTTCTTTCTTTTTTTAGAGGCAAATGCAGTGTTACACTCTTAAATGAAACAGAATCCCTTAAATCCTATCTGGAACGTGAGGTAGGCACAGATATATGAAACTGAAAATCTTCCAAGTTGTTTTGCCACACTTGTTTAAAGCACTTGTCCAATGTTAAAAAGGTAAAGGACCCCTGACAGTTAAGTCCAGTCACAAACGACTCTGGGTTGCGGTGCTCATCTCGCTTTACTGGCCAAGGGAGCTGACGTTTGTCCGCAGACAATTTTTCCGGGTCATGTGGCCAGCATGACTAAGCCGCTTCTGGCGAACCAGAGCAGTGCACAGAAACGCCGTTTACCTTCCCGCCGGAGCGGTACCTATTGATCTACTTGCACTTTGATGTGCTTTCAAACTGCTAGGTTGGCAGGAGCAGGGACCGAGCAATGGGAGTGCACCCCATCATGGGGATTTGAACCGCCAACCTTCTGATCAGCAAGCCCTAGGCTCAGGACCAAATGGCATGATCCACCTTCCTCCTTGATTTCCTGGTTCATAGCACTTTGCTGTGGCATCCAAACCGCACCAACTGTGGCGTGTGCAAATCATAGCTTGCCTCTAAACCAGAATTAGAAACCATGGTTTGAAGGTGGCTTCTGCCTTTCTAAAAAAGCAAACCATGGTTTGTTCGATTCAGATGTAATGGCAAACTGTGGTTTGTTTCAAACCAGGAAGTTGTGGCGGAGCATAATGTGCAGTGGCTTCTGGGAGCACAGTGACCAAGTCATGGTCTACAATAATGCTTTGAAGTGGGACAATATTACCACCATCTTGGGATCGTACTATGAAGAAATACCACCTAAATTACAGGTGGGCATGGCTGGGACTAAAGTCCTCTATTTAGTGTATTTCACTTTTTGTAAAACATACAGTTCTAAGATACTACTGTCGTCTTTTCTGAGGCTTCAGGAGCTGTGATGGGGCTTCTGTAAACATTTAGACTCCAATGCAGTTTGTTTCGGCATAACTTCTTAGTGCTGCATATGAAGGCAATTCTTTAAATAGTATATTTGGCAATTCATGAACATCTCTGGTATATTCATGAACATCTCTTAGAAATCAGTCTGCAAATGGAGCGATTTGGTGTCCTAGGTACGTTAACTTAAAGGTGAAGCTTCATGAGGGAGGAAGTTCTCTTAAGATGAAAAAGTGAGCAAGGTTGACGCCTTGTCTAGAGGAGAGAGGGATTTTTCCATAACAAAAAGTGGAAATGCTAACTGATCAGAAATATGGGACACAGTGTAGAAGGGACAGAGTTAAGGAGCAAATGAGAGGTTGCCTGCAAAACTGAATAAGGATCTTTAGTGCCAAGTGCCAAACTGGAGTGCCAAAATGTCATGGCAAATCCTAAGCTGAAGAAATAGAAAAGAACAACCTGTTGATTAGGTGCCAAATAGAAGTGTGTGCCTATATTGGCAAATGGAGCAGGTGTAGATGCATTCGAATCCTACTGCTTCTCTCTATAAATGAGAGTCAATTTAATTCATTGATGATAGCATCTAGGCATGCTTGCCCGAGCATGCTTTGCACAACCACCCGTAGAGTGAAGTTTGAGGAACCAAGAAATGGAGAAGCAAGCTCAGGGGAGCCAGCAAGACTGTGTAACTCCACAATATTCTGCAATTTTTCTGCTATTAAACGCCGGGTAGAACTCATCATTTTTGGTCAAATGGTTTTCTGGTGCCTAGCGAATCTAAACTCCTCCTGTCAACACTCTTATCTCATTCACCCATTGAGGTTGCACAGCTATATCTAGCTGACTCCAAACATGGAACAGGTAGCATTTCTGAGAATGCTATCTTGGAGAGCCTAGATTGGAACATCCTGCCTAGCAACTTAAATTTTACTTTCACAATACACACCTGCATTTCCCAATGTATTTGATGCACATTGCTGTCTCCTTCCTAAGATGATACTTTGTAAAAGGTACAATTTTTATTTTTTTCATGACTTCATGCTTTATATGCATTTGATTTCTCACCACCAGGTTTTCTGTTCTCGTTTGATGGTGCAAAAATGGTTAGGAATGACTCTATACTCATGATTCAGGTTGTTGGAAATGCTATAATTTTTACTTCCCTTCCTGTCCCCAGGACTTCTTTTTTTATTCACTAGTATATGATCCACAGCAGAAGACTCTTCTAGCTGATAAGGGAGAAATCAGAGTTGGAAACAAATACCAGGCTGATGTAACAGACTTACTGAAAGAAGGTAGTTTCATTTCTGATTTCTGCATGAATCCATAAAGAATTCATGTTGTGTTGTGGGAATGTTTTGGAAACTGTTGGGCTCTAAGGTTTTTGTTTGAGGAACTGCAGAATGCTCTCACAGCCTCTATATCCCATGATGTGTAACACTAACTAGTCCTTTCATGCTGTCCAAACATACATAAACATACATAAACATAACTCAAACATACATAGTTTCTGTAATGGGACTTGATCTTGGTTTACCTCTGTTAAAATATTTTTACTGTGTAGTGTTTTTCTAAAATGTTTCACAGCAGCTTCCAGCATTTTAAAATAATTCCAGACTAAGAAACGCAGACATTTAAAATTCAGATTCAACTTTACACTAAGCTTAAATCTGAAAAATTTGGAATAAATTATATGGAACACTCTTTAAAAAACACAAAAAACTTTTGGACTGGAGGACATTCAGTTAATAGGATGGCACCTCCCACTGGACAAGGATATGCAGCCCCCTTCAAGTGTTTTGCTTGGGGAGGAGCTATCCCACCCTCCAGATCTTCCCTGCCTCTAGTCAGGTCGGTTGGGTCCTATGTTCTATGCAGAACTTAGCATTGTTCACTCTTTGAAATGGTTTTTGTTTTGTCTTTACCTTTTTCTGCCTTGCCTTAATTCCTCTTCTGTGTATGTCATTTATCTGTCTTCTTGATCTTAATAATAATAATGATGATAATAATAATAATAATAATAATAATAATAATAATAATAATAGCAGCATCATTGTTAGGTTAAAGAAGGGTGTCCTTTCTTTAGCTTCCTTTTCCTGTAAGTCTGCAGATCTGCTGTGTTTTTCTTGTGGTTTTTTTCCCCTTTTCTTTTCCCTGGCACTTTTTACCAGCATGAGACTTTCTCTGGTGGCACCTAGCACCCGGGGCTCACAGGGAATGGAGCTAGCACAGAGAGTTCCCTGACTCAGCCTTCCTGTCAGGAGAGTTCTTTTGACTTCTCCTTCTGTTCTTCTGTTATTAGCCAGCAGTTTTTTGTGAATGAAGGGAGGACATGACGCGTCACAGTCTTAAATTCATCTCTGCTGCACAAGAGAGGAGGAGAGAGACAAATCAGCAACACTCCTGCATTCTCCGTCTCGGAGAACTTTACTATTCTGCAAAGTTCATTGCTCCAATAGCATGCTTGCCTTTGTTGTCATTCTCCTTGTCAGGGAGTGGGATCTCATTTAAGAGATCAGCAGGTGTGGTCAGCTCTTTTTTTGGATCGGAACTGCCATTTTTTGTTCACTTTGAGCAGGAGATACCTAATGGTTCTGTATTTCCAAAGCTTTTGTGTACATGTGAATTAAGTGGGTTCTTTGGGGAAATGGGGCTGGCATATGAAGTACTGGATGGTTGGATGTGTACTTTTCACTCATGTTATTCTGCGGAGGTAAACTCTTCTTGGCAATACTACAAAAGAGACAACCGTAGCATTTTTCACCAGTGAACGTTAAATGTTTTCTGTAGTTTCCAAGATTTGTGGAAGGCAAGCTCCTCATCAGTACGCTATTTGTTTTGCCAGATTGCCTAGATAAACCCTTTTTTTATTTGAATTTGTTTAGGTGAAGATGATGGCAGAGACCAATCAAAACTTGAAACAAAAGTTTGGGAAGCATTTAATCCACTAATAGACAAACAGATAGATCAGTTCCTTGTAGTAGCACGGTAAGGAGAAAAACACCACAATTTGCGTCTTAATCTGGTTATTCCCCCGCTTTCTGATTATACTGTTCCCCTAAACAAATGCTTGCTGTTTGTCAAACAAAAAGTTTTGTTTGCCGTTGCATCATTATGGTAATTATAATCTTAATGTTTATATACCATTGTTTTGGGATTGAGTCATTCATTAGCAATGATTTGATTTGCTAGTAAAGCAGATAATTCACTGATCTCTTCCACTGTGTCCCCAAATGTTCAGTAAGTTTGCACAAGGGCTGTCTGCATACTAAGGCCGTGTCCTGATCGTTAATGATATAGTCAACATTAATAATGTCTTCATTGCAAGCTTTTTGGAAGTTGTTGCTGAGTTTTAAATGTATGGCTTGTAGCACTTGCATGCATCGGATTGGGTGGTGCAGATACTTCCCACATGGAGGAATGAATATAGGTATATTGCAAATGATACTTGACTGAAGGAGGCAAATTTTAATTCTTCAGCTTGCTGCTGTTCTAAAACCATTTGTGAATGGAAATCCTCGCAATAGCAAATATTTGCTCTGACCTTTCCTGATTCCGTTGATTTGAAAGACTGGTAGTGGTTTTTTCTGTATCCTTCATGCAAGTGTGAACATTCAGTTAGCAATAGTTTTCAGGTGTGTGGCATATGAAATAACTAGAAGGAAAGGAGATGGGAGTTGCAGTCAGGCCTGAGACAAGGAAGTAGCATATAGATGTAAAGCAAGATGTTTGGAGAACTGTCTTGAGGGCATTAGACTTCATCTGATGCAGTCCCTTGTTGACTTCTGTCATTGGCTTTATAGAGCATTGTCCTTGTATGGCATGAGATTGATATGTGCTTTGAAGAGCATGGGCATCATGAACATCACAGAGGTCCTTGAAGGAAAACAAACAAATGTTAGCAAATGGTACTTGGACAGAAAAGTGTATTCATCAGTTGCTAGTACCTTTTTTGGATTCCCTGATGGCAATTCAACTTGCTCTAGGCATAGGCCTCTAGTAAGGTTTAAACATGCGATAGGTGCCTTATTCCACATTTAGGCACTGATTTTGTATATTCTCACTTCTTAAACTGTGATTTTCTTCAGGTTTCAAGCTCATGAAAATGAATTTCATCAACTTGGGGGAGAACTAAAAATGAGGTTACATGAGATAAATAAGCAGAGGTCCTCCTTTTTCCTCTGGTAGTGGTAAACAAAAAGGTCAAGGTGTACATCCTGTACAGAACTCATTGCCACAAGCAGTGAATGCCAAAGAAGTCATTTTGTCACTCCGGCAAGTAGTGTGTATAAGCCATCATATTGGAAGACAAGATGACCGTTTTGAATTCAAATTTTGGTCAATATTTCAATCCGCCATCCAGGTTAGAAACCAACGTTGCATGAACTAAGGTGATAGTCACACTGGATTCAAAGAATTTATGGTCACGTTACACAATTCTTCATTATTACATAACCAAAAGATGTGCAAAATTGCTACATCAGTTGTGTTCTGTTTTCAGATTACTTTGACATGAAAACCTCAGATGGAGCTGATAAAAGACTCACACTTAAGCAAATGTTTCGGTGGAGCTGCTGGCAGCATGGAGTCCAGCAAAGCGGAGGAGGTAACGACTTGTAATCCACGAACCTACATCAAAACCTAAATATGCCTGCTAGAAATGTGCACATAGGCAATCATTTAACACAGGACAGTTGCTGAATTTGGCACATTTCTGGCATTCTGATTCTCATGCTAGTTATTCATCCCTGATAAAGCACAGAGTATATTGACTTCACTTGTGCGTCCTTCCTCAAGTTACGGAAGTAGTATAAAAATCAATGGGAGATGCAGCAAGAGTTCTTTAGCCGCATTCCTTCTTGCTTTGCAGACATCATTTCTAAATGCAACAGCTTTGTTGCATTGATTCCTTGATCGATAGCATCAGAATCTCATTCTTTGCTTGGACTGAGCAGCCACACAATGAAGTTATCAAACTATGCCATGCGTAGTGGTGCAATATTACTTTCGAAATATCGGTGTTATCTCTTCTGAAAAGAATAGAAGTTTGGAGGTGGCAGAGATCTGACCCATCTCACACAATACAATACAGGCGACACCCAATTTGTGTGTGGGGGGGGGTTGCGTTCCAGGTCCTTGTGTGCAGTGGCAGAGACTTACATGTCCACCCCATTCTGGTCCCACCCCTTTTCCTGCCACTTCTGGGTTTGCGGTGATGCACGTGTGCACGGTTGCGCATGCTTTGAACGCATGCAAAACGGTTGTTGCCTGTACAGTGCCGGATTAGTCATTATGGCGCTGCTGTTGTCTGAGGCAGTTGTTTCATATCATACAACGACTGCCCAAGTGGGGTTCCAGCTGGATGACTGTGAGAGCGTTTGTTTTGAGCTCATTTGATATTTCTTTTTTTAAAAAATGTTGCGGTTGGCTCAGTACTACTAACGGCTGGGTATTGAGCATATTTGCCTTATCTTCTTTTTCATTAACACAAAAGGGTTTTATTTTGTTGGGAGCTGTCCAGAGTGGCATATAAATAACAGACATTAATTAATTAAAATTAATCTCTATTAACTGCAAGATACAAGTTTCTGGCTGGGAGTCCATAGTCGTGCAGAGTCTTTTGGAGTTTTAAGTTCTGAAAACCAATATAGCACGCGGATATTCATCATCTCAATAACTTTTCTGGCTCACCCTGAGGATGAGCTAAGCACCTAGATTTTGAATAAAATAGGTAAGGGTCCACCCTCTCTCCCACCCTGAAGTAAGAGGGCATTGAAGGACAGAGTGGAAGAGCCTGAGGCTATGAGATAAGCACTTCAGAGAAGCCCTCTGTGTGTATAACCTGGAGTCGCAGGTCTTACTATACAAGGGTACGAGAAACAGGGAGCACCACTTGTATCTGAAAGTGTTTCACATGTTAGACAATGAAGACAAAATAAAATTACAAGCTTCTTCCCCCGAGGGATGAAGTAGCTGGCAACGAGCGTACATCTCAATCTCCAGCCGCCAGTCTTGTCTATATTGACTACAGGGGTGCAGCGCAAGAGGCTAATTGGGGATAATGTGTCATTAATCTGGCCATGGAGATGGCTTTGGCTGAAAATGCACCAGCTACTGGTAGGATGCAACCAGTGGAGCGAAGGGAGCTATTAGATGACCTCACGTTAAAACAGGTGAATGAGCTGGCAAAGTGCCATGCTAAAGAGAATGAGACTTCCCTACCTAGAGTGGAGCAGAGGGAGGAGAAAGACATTAACTTACTATTTCAATGGACCAAGTATATCACAAAGGAAGAGGAAGTATTAGAATGTATTCGATACACTGGATGAAAATTCTAGAAGTGTCAAAAGCCTGTAAGGAAGTGTGGCACCAAAAAAGGGAATAAAGTCTCTATATATGATCAACATACCTCTGTCTCTCCCCCAGCAGGAGTTGATAAGGAAACGGCAATGCAAGATCCCTGGTTTGGTGTTTGAAAGGGGCATAGAATTGAGAAATATCGCAACCGCTGTCACAGCCGTCAAGTCTACAATATTACGCTGATTAGGATTTACAACTAATATGTCAAAATAGGGCTTTTGTATCTACCCGAAAGTGGGATGCGGGTGGCGCTGTGGGTTAAAGCCTCAGCGCCTAGGACTTGCCGATCGAAAGGTCGGCGGTTCGAATCCCCGCGGCGGGGTGCGCTCCTGTTGCTTGGTCCCAGCGCCTACCAACCTAGCAGTTCGAAAGCACCCCCGGGTGCAAGTAGATAAATAGGGACCGCTTACTGGCGGGAAAGTAAATGGCGTTCCGTGTGCTGCGCTGGCTCGCCAGATGCAGCTTTGTCACGCTGGCCACGTGACCCGGAAGTGTCTGCGGACAGCGCTGGCTCCCGGCCTCTAGAGTGAGATGAGCGCACAACCCTAGAGTCTGTCAAGACTGGCCCCTACGGGCAGGGGTACCTTTACCTTTATGTACCCGAAACAAAGTGGGCTGCTCTCCCAGAGTGAATAGAATCTTGTCTAATCAATATATCACAACCAGCAATCACTGACTTATATATGACTATCCAAGTGGTGGTGTTCTGCTTGCACAACTTTCCTATTTCTCACAGTTTGGAAGATTAGTAGCAGAAGAATTGCATTTATTTGGTGCTTAAACAGCGGTTGCTGTGTAGCAAGTCTGAAGCTTTTGCTTTTCAAGGGATGTCTAACACCTTCATCTTTCAAGTACATTGTTCAGACTGTACACACTTTCAATGTAAAATAGCACCGTTAGCTCATGTTATAGTATTATGTTAAGAAAAGACTGTCTTCTTGCACAGTCTCCACATGCAGATAAAAACATACAACTTCTACTTCTTCCTCCCACCTTGTTTAGGATGATAATGTGCCTCAGCAGCTATTAGATCTCATTCTTCTCTGTCAACTGGTATTGCACTGAATGATTCAAATGACTCCTATTCAAATGACACTTTTAACTGCCTTTATAGCGAGCTGCTGGAGGTATTTGTTTTGCTTGATAATGCTTGTGCTTTATGAAGAAAGGGTTTCACTTTCAACTTGTATCTTGTATGAATTTCTTCGTGATCTCTAAATGTGCGTAAAACAATTGCAGCAAAACCACTGGCCATTGAGGCTTTTGGAATGTTGCACTGTAGGATTAAAACACCGTGGAAGTTTATGGAAAATACATTTATAGGAAGTGTTGATTTCAGCAGCTGTCCTTTGTTAAACAGATTCCTGGTTTTCATTAGTACAATTCCAGCAGGTATGCTGAGGCTGGTGGTTGACTGTGAGCGTACTTCACTGACACCATTATGCATGTTGTAGATTCTGAGTCGTAGCTCCCATGGTTCACTGGACTCAGCGATGCTACATGACACATGGCGTTTGCTAAAGAGTGGTGAGGGCAAGTTTCGTACTGACAACCTGCATTTAAATGTTTTCCTTCTGAGGGAATCTCAAATAGAATAAAGTTGATGTAGCAAATTTCCATCCTTTTGGGGTATGCAAAAATGAATAATAAAAAAACATTTGCGGAAGCCATCTGTGAACCCAGTATAGCTGTGATGATGGACACGATTTCTCTTCTTGGTTCCTACAATGTTGACTTTGTCATCTGAATAAGTTCCTAACCTGATGAGGGAGTGAGCTGAAACATGGCATTTGTGACATCTGTCTTAGATTCCGGTACACACACTACCTATTTCCCCCTGATAAAGGTAGACAGTTTTCTGCGATGACAAAATCGAGAGGGGGTGGGCAACGGTCACTACTATGTGTGGGGAAAATGTGTATTATCATTGAAGTCAATGAAAATGTAGCAAAAATGCTTTTTCCCCTCGTACAAATAAATGATACGTACCAAATTGTTTTTGAAAGTGCTTGCTGTAAACATGTTACTTTCTTCGCTTTGTGTGTGTGTTTTCTTGCACGGAAAGACAACCTTCTCTTCATTTTTTTTAGCTCTGTGGGTACATTTGCTCGCGCTCTAGACTGCAGCAGTTCTGTTCGGCAGCCAAGCTTACACATGAGTGCTGCAGCAGCATCTAGGGATATCACACTGGTAAGAATTCAAGAAAATAAATCCTAATGTTGGATTTTCGGTTAAAAGTAATACCTCTATAGCATAAAGGCACAAAGAGAGTAATATATCAGTTTGAAAACACTGGAAGAGTCCTGAAGCATTTTACATTGGTGTCGGTTGTGTGCTTAAGAGACAGTTCAGTTAGGAGCCAACTGGAGCTGTGAATCTATAACACACACAAAAAATCTAGCATGTACATGGTAAATTTTAAGCTCATGATCATTTACAATGCTTAATTAAATGATTTGTATGACTGATGTGGAGTTTATTAATTGGGAATGGGTTTCCTGTACCAGTTCAACAGAATTTAACCCCTACTCATTGGTGTTCACCAGGTGGTTAAATCCTGTTTTGTTGGGCAGTTCAGTGCAAACCATTGAACCACTGCTCCAATGAAGGTTTCTTCCTTAGTTTAAGCAATACCTTGCCCATGTTAAAACAAGGGGGGGGGGGAGAGAGCTTTGTTTTAGCAGCAACTTTGGAGTCCTGACCAGATGCCATTGTGACATTGGGTGATTTCCCCATCCACCTGTCAAATTTGGCCTGGTAAGGATTTGGCCTGTGGAGCCAAAAATATTCTTCATGCCAGCATTAGAGGATAATAATAATAATAATAATAATAATAATAATAATAATAATTCCTCCCTGCCCATCTGTCTGGGTTTTCCCAGCTAGTCTGGGTGGCTTACAGCATATATAAAAACATAATAAAACATCAAACAGCCCCCTGATATGTATCAGTCCTCAAGTTTCATTCATAGCTTTTTATTTTTAAATGTGTTGCATTTTTAAAAATGTATTGGAAACTTCTTTTTTTACACAGTTTGTATTTGGTTTGTTTTATGTAGTTCCATGCCATGGATACTTTGCACAAAAACATCTATGACATTTCCAAGGCAATTTCTGCCCTTGTGCCCCAGGGTGGGCCTGTCTTGTGCAGGGATGAGATGGAGGAATGGTCTGCTTCTGAGGCAAATCTCTTTGAAGAAGCCCTTGAAAAATATGGAAAGGATTTTACTGATATTCAGCAAGATTTTGTAAGTAGGCAAACGGCATTGCACATCTAGAAGATCGTGGACAGCATTCTCCAGTTAAAGAAATTAGGGCAGTATTCATCTAAAAACGTGTGTAAGCAGAACATCTTCCATTTGTGCAGTGGCAAATTCTCTTCCCCATGTGTCCCATGACATTTCCAAATTGCTGGTATAGTTTAGGGATACTGAGCTACATGCTTGGGGGATAAGGCAAATGCTGTGGACATAGCACATCTTTATTTAAGTAAGGCTTTTGACAACGTCCCCCATGATATTCTTGCAAGGAAGTTGGTAAAATGTGAGCTTGACAATGTAACCGTTAGGTAGATTTGTAGCTGGTTGACTGACTTAACCCAAAGACTACTCATTAATGGTTCATCCTCATCCTGAAAAAAAGTTTGAAGTAGGGTGCTGCAGGGTTCTTTCCTGGGTTCATTGTTGTTCAACGTCTTTATAAATGACTTGAAGGAAGGATTTGAGGGGCTGCTCATCCAATTTGCAGATGACACCAAACTGGAAGGGGTAGCTAATGTCACAGAAGACAGAATCATAATTCAAAATAACCTTAACAGATTGGAGAACTAGGCCCAAACTAACAGAATGAGTTTCACTAGGGACAAATGTAAGCTTCTGCACTTAGGAAGGAAGAATCAGCTGTACAAATATAAGATGGAAGACTCCTGGCTTACCAGTAGTACATATGAAAAGGATATAGGGACCACAAGCTTAGCATGAGTCAACAGTGTGATGCAGCAGCAAAGAAAGCTAATGCCATTCTAGGCTGCATCAACAGAAGTCTAGTGTCCAGATCAAGGGAAGTAATAGTACCACTCTATTCTGCCTTGGTCAGACCACGCTTGGGAGTCCTGTGTCCAATTCTGAGCACCACAATTTAACTCATAGAATCCTAAAATCCCCCTGCAATGCAGGAATCTCAACTAAAGCATCCATGACAGATGGCTGTTCAACCTCTGTTTAGAAACCTCCAAAGAAGGAGAGGGTTGTCTCACCATCTTCTGGAGGGTGTGCAGAGGAGGGCAGCCAAGATGATCAAGGGTCTGGAAACAGTTGAAGGAGCTGGATATGTTTCGCCTAGAAAAGCAGAGACTGAGAGGAGGTATGAGAGCCCTCCTCAAATATCTAAAGGGCTGTCACATGGAAGATGGAGCTAGTTTGTTTTCTCCTGCTCTGGAGGGTAGGACTCCAACCAGTGGCTTCAGGGTACAAGAAAGGACTAAACATCAGAAAAAACTTTCTGACAGTAAGAAGAAGAAGAAGAAGAAGAGGAATTTGGATTTGATATCCCGCTTGCCAATCGAAAGGTGGGCGGTTCGAATCCCCGCGGCGGGGTGCGCTCCTGTTGCTCAGTCCCAGCGCCTGCCAACCTAGCAGTTCGAAAGCATCCCCGGGTGCAAGTAGATAAATAGGGACCGCTTTCTAGCGGGAAGTTAAACGGCGTTTCCATGTGTGCTGCGCTGGCTCGCCAGAGCAGCGATGTCACGCTGGCCACGTGACCCGGAAGTGTCTCTGGACAGCGCTGGCCCCTGGCCTCTTGAGTGAGATGGGCGCACAACCCCAGAGTCTGGCAAGACTGGCCCGTACGGGCAGGGGTACCTTTGCCTTTACCTTTATCCCGCTTTATCACTACCCGAAGGAGTCTCAAAGCAGCTAACATTCTCCTTTCCCTTCCTCCCCCACAACAAACACTCTGTGAGGTGAGTGGGGCTGAGAGACTTCAGAGAAGTGTGACTGGCCCAAGGTCACTCAGCAGCTGCATGTGGAGGAGCGGAGACACGGACCCGGTTCACCAGATTACAAGTCCACTGCTCTTAACCACTGCACCACACTGGCTCTCAGTTGGTGTCCGACAGTGGAAAGGTCTTCCTAGGGAGATGGTGGACTCTCCTTCCTTGGAGGTTTTTAAACAGAGGTTGGATGGCCATCTATCAGGGATGCTTTAGTTGAGATTCCTGCATTGCAGAGGGTTGGACTAGATGAACCTTGGGGTCGTTTCCAGCTCTTAAGATTTTAGGATTCTACGAGTTCTGGCACCATTTCCCCAGCTGGAAATGCATTGTGAACAGCCAATGGTGATCAAGGCTTTAAAGGTTTAGTCTTAGGAGGCTGGAACAGATTAGACATTGTACTTGTTTCTAACATCATCTAGAACATTGTACCTGAGGCATGTTGGAAATCATACGACTGTGTGAGATGCAGGCCACAGGGCCTCCATACTGGGACTCAAACCACCCCAGTTTGGCTCTGCAGTACATCCTTGCACAGCAACTAGGTTGATAAAAACAGCTTTTACTGGTGTTTTTAAAGCCTAATTGCAGCATGGGGAAGGTGAAGGGGGGTGTACAAAGCTAGATAAAGAAGAGTTAACTCACTTCTTCAACATCTAGCTTTGTGGCAGTTGGGTAGCTATATGCTTGGGAACTTCTGAGTTCTGACTTTTTGCTATTAAAGTCTTTTGTTCCCAGGATGATGTAGATTTGACACCTCATGGGCTTTTTTTGGTTTTGTTTATACGTGTTCTTAGCTTCCATGGAAGTCCTTAACCAGCATAATTGAGTACTACTATATGTGGAAAACAACAGATCGATATGTTCAACAGGTAAGAACAATGTAGTTACAGTTCTCAAAACAGATGCTTCTAACTTCTAATTGCAATCTATTGTAGTAGTCATTATAATCCTATATACTCAGTTTTGCTGATATTTGATGAATGATTTGAAACTTGTAACTCCTTTTTGAGTGGGTGGACATGACTGCCAGATGTCTCATTAAGGTATTATTGTATGGATTGACTTTGGGTGGATCTCTCCAACTCAGAGATCTCTTCTGGAAAAAGCATAGGAGGGTCATTTGCCACTGAAACTAACAAAAAACTATTGTTACAGATAGGTAGCCGTGTTGGTCTGCCATAGTCAAAACAAAAAAAATTCCTTCCAGTAGCACCTTAAAGACCAACTAAGTTAGTGCTTGGTATGAGCTTTTGTGTGCATGCACACGAAAGCTCATACCAAGAACTAACTTAGTTGGTCTTTAAGGTGCTAATGAAAAAACTATTGTGTTCAGTATTGTCAGTATTGTCACATTTGAACTTGGCGCGCGCGCCCAGCCTTCAACCTTCCTCTTGACCGTTTCCTCGCTCCCCGATGGAGGCGTGGCCAATCCTGACTCATGTCCTCCCGCTGGCGGTGAGCCGCCTGATCCCGATACCTGGGACTCCTCCCCCCTACTGCGCTCTGGTGGGGAAGCTGGTCCTGATTTCCAACTGCTGCCTCCCGTTGTTGGCGAAGAACGGTTTCACCCCCGTGGACACGTGCTTCGTGTTGTTGTAGGCGAACTCGGCGAGCGGCAGGTAGTCCACCCATGTTGCAGGCTGCTGATTTGCGTAGCATCTCAGGTACTGCTGCATGATGGCGTTGACCCGCTCCGCTTGTCCGTTGGTCTGCGGGTGTCTCGCCGACGCTAGGTTGATCTTGACGTTCAGGATGCCCATCAGCTTCTGCCAGAAGTTCGAGATGAACTGTCGCCCCCGGTCGGACAGGATAGACCGTGGTAGACCGTGAACCCTGAACACGTGGTCTATGAACAGTTTGGCGGTCTGTTCCGCCGTGGCCACCTTCGCGCACGGAATGAAGTGGGCCATTTTGGTGAACATGTCCACCACCACTAGCACTGCTGTCTTGCCCCTCGAGCTGGGCAGATCCGTGACAAAGTCCAGGGCCACCCTCTCCCACGGTTCGAGCGGTGTCTGCAGCGGTTCCAGCAGTCCCGCCGGCGGTTTGTGCACTGACTTGGCCCTTTGGCAGGTGTCACACCTCGAGACGTAATCCGCGACTTCCCCCCGCATCTTGGGCCACCAAAAATCTCTGGCTACTAACTCTACAGTCTTCTCTTTGCCAAAGTGCCCGGCGGTGGGTGCGTCGTGCAACTGCTGCAGTACCTTCGCGCGGAGGTCGTCTCCCGGTACGTAGAGGGCCCCTTTGCGGATGAGCAATCCGTCGCGTATCTGGAACTCGTCGTCCTTCGCCGTGCCCCTGTGCACCTCCTCCATCTTGGCTTGTGCGAAGGGGTCCTCCTGCAGCGCGCGACGTACAGCATCCAGGTCCACGGTTGCCGAAGCGCACGCCCACGCTTTCGGTGCGAAAATGTGCTTGGCCGCCGCTGGTGCCGCCTCCTCGAGGTATTGCGGCTTCCTGGACAGTGCATCCGCCATGACGTTGTTGTCGCCTGGGATGTACTCTATCCTGAAGTCGAAGTCCGCAAAGAACTCCGCCCATCGTATGTGCCTCTGGTTCAGGAACCTTGCCATGCGCCAGTACTCCAGGTTCTTATGGTCTGTGCGGACCTGCACTGTGTGTCTGGCTCCGATAAGGAAGTGCCGCCACGCCTTGAATGCTGCATGAATGGCTAGCAACTCCCTGTCCCAGATGGTGTAGTTCTGCTCTGACTTGCTGAGCTTCCTGGAGTAGAAGGCGCACGGTCTCCAGTCCCCATGCGGGTCTTGCTGCAACAGTACTGCTCCCACGGCCCTGTCTGAGGCGTCCGTTTCAACCCTCATCGGTCTGCTGGGATTCACATGCAGTAGCTGCTCTTCTGACGAGAAGAGACGCTTGAGTTTCTGAAAGGACTGCTCCGCTTGCTCCGTCCAGATGAACTTCTTCTTCTTGGAGCTGAGCGTGTCGGTAATGGCCGCCGTCTGCATAGCGAACCCCTTGATGAACTTGCGGTAAAAGTTAGCAAAGCCTACAAACCTCTGGACTTCCTTCCGATTGCGCGGGCTCTTCTAGTCCAACACTGAGCGAACCTTGGCGCTGTCCATGGCGAGCCCCTTGTCCGACAATTTGTAGCCCAGGAAATCCACCTCCGTCATGTCGAACTGGCATTTCTCCAGCTTGGCGTACAGTCTGTGCTCCTGCAGTGTCTGCAGAACTTCCTTGACGTCTCTCTCGTGAGCCTCCTGCGATTCTGAAAATATCAGGATGTCGTCCAGGAAGCAGACGCACTTCTTGTAGAGGAGTCCCGCTAACACGTGATGCATGAAGGCTTGAAAACAGTGGGAGCCATTTTGTAATCCAAAGGGCATAACTCTGTATTCATAGGTGCCCAGGGGCGTGAACATGGCCGTCTTCCACTCGTCGCCCTCCCGTATGCGAATCAGGTTGTACGCCCCTCGCAGATCCAACTTGGTGAAAACGCGTCCTTTTCTCACCGTCGTGAGCAGGTCGTCGATCTTGGGCATGGGGAAGGCTGTGGGCTTGGTTTTCGAGTTCAAAATTCTGTAGTTCACCACAAGCCTTTTTTGGGGCGTGTCCTTTTTCTTCACAAAGAATACGGGACTGCCCCCCACTGCCTTGGACTCCCGGATGAAGCCGCGCTTCAAGTTGTGATCTATGAACTCCCTGAGTTCCTGCAGTTCGTCTTCAGACATGGAATACAGTTTCCCGGTCGGCAGCATCGCCCCCGGCAGGAGGTCAATCTTGCTGTCGTAGGACCTGTGGGGAGGTAGCTTGTCCGCTTCCTTCTCGCAGAAAACTTCCAAAAACGCTGCGTACTTGATGGGCACTGCTTGCAGCGTGCCTAATTGTAGCTGCGGGTCATCCTCTTCCCCTCCGTGCTAGGCAGAATGCAATGTTCCGCACAGTAGGAGGAGCAGAAAGTCAGTTGGCGCTGGTACCAAGCCAATGCTGGGCTGTGCCTGTGCAGCCAACTCATGCCTAATACTACAGGCGTGTCCGACAGTTGGGTGACATTGAAGCTGATGACTTCTCGGTGATTCCCAATTTGCATTACCATCGGAGGCGTTTGCTTCACCACCTGCCCCCCAGCAATTCCCTGCCATCCACCGTGACAACCTTCAGGGGCAGCGTGGCTGGCAGTAGCGCTATGCTGTGTTGTTGAATGAAATCCAGTCCTATAAAGTCTGCGTTACTGCCAGAGTCAATGGTAATTGGTACTTCCATAGTGAGTCCATTGGGTAGCTGGAGCGATGCGGTGAGCTGCACCACTGGTTTGGGCGGGAGGGGGTCTGTGGGCTGCAAAATTTCTGGGGACTGCTTCACTGACTCGTCTGGCTGGGCCCCAGTGCCTCTTCCTCCAGCCAGACTCTGTCGTTTCCCTGCTGTGGTTCTCTCTGCTGAGTTGCTTCTGTTACTGTTGCGGAGGCTGCAGTGTGCTTGTGGAGCCTCTGGGGACACTCTTTCGCCATGTGCTGAGCACTGTCGCAGATGTAGCACTTCCTGTTCCCTCTAGGAGGCTTCGCTTTGACTGCTCCCGGTGTTAGGGCTCTGGTAGCTGACTGAGCCCTGGCGCCTCCAATCTCCATCGGTTCCTCTCCCCCTCCCTGCGGAGGCGTGGATTGCTCACGCGCTGCATCCTTGGGAAAGAGGGGAGGTGCTCTCGCTGACGTGCGTCCCCAACGCCCTTCTTCTCTGCTCCATGGACGTTCTTCCAGGCGCACCCCAATCGACAGCGCCCTCTGGACCACCTCCTGAGTGCTCTGGGGTCTCTCCCCCCTTGCAATTTCGTCTTTCACATTTGCATTCAAGCCTTCCCAAAAAAGGTCTCTGACTGGAACAGAATCTTTCTCCCATCCCAGCGCATTGACTAATGCAAAAAAGCGGGAATGATACTGCCTTACACTGGCTCTCCCTTGTTTCAGCCCATGTATGTCTTTTCTGGCGATATCAATGTCTATATTTGATAAAAAACACGAATCCATTGCTTTAATGAATGCATCCGCACTTCGGAGCGCCGGATCCTTATCTCTCCACAGATTGCGCAGCCACGCTTTAGCTTCTCCATGCAAATGGGATAAGATAAATCCCACCTTCTCTTGCTCATCTCTAAAGTCTTTATCCAGCAGTTGCAGCGCAAACAGCACGTCTGCTTGGAAGTTAGGGTACTGCTGTAAATTCCCATCGAAATGAGATACAAGGCTGCCTCCTCTTTTCCCCAGCCCAATCCCCTCTGATTTGGGTCCCGGTTGCCCCTGCTTAGTAAGCACTTCCAACCTGGCTTGGAGATCCCTGCAGGCGGCAGCCGCTTCGTCTTCCCTTTTCCTGGATGCGAGTATCTCCGCGTTGAGTTGTGTCACTGCATTTTGCAGGGCTGCTATTTGCTGTTCTGTAGTCATCTTGCCTGACTTTTGTGAGCTCGCGAAGCACCAATCTTCGCCCCTCGCTGCGTCCACTCACGTTGCGAGGTTTTTGGTGCAAAACGGAGATGGAGCTTACTGTCAGAGCTGGCTCCAGGTCCCAGCTCACAGAGGACCAACGCTAGCCGGTAGTAATGTACAAAAGTCTTTATTGAAGTACAGTTTCCATTTTCAAGCCGCAGCGCCCAGCTCTACGTCTTAGAGGCTAGACCGGCGAAGCTCCATCTGAGTCTCCACCCCCTGTACACCAACTTAAGAGTCTAACCTTACTCCACCTCTTCCGTCTCTCCTTTCTCCTCTGGGTCCTTCTGCCCCCCGGGGTCTCCTCCTTTCTGGACTCTTCTGACGCTGACCCCCCGACTCCTCCCCCTCTTTTCGGCGGGCTTTGGGACCTGGCTCCCTATCCGGGCTGCCAACTGCGCCGCCCTCCTGTACATTTGAACTTGGCGCGCGCGCCCAGCCTTCAACCTTCCTCTTGACCGTTTCCTCGCTCCCCGATGGAGGCGTGGCCAATCCTGACTCATGTCCTCCCGCTGGCGGTGAGCCGCCTGATCCCGATACCTGGGACTCCTCCCCCCTACTGCGCTCTGGTGGGGAAGCTGGTCCTGATTTCCAACTGCTGCTCTCTGAGTCCCCTCTGGCCCCTTCTTCCTGGGGTGTCCCCCTCGGCACCCCCCTTGCTCTGACCATGGGAGCCCCTTTCTGTGAATCTTCCGATTCGCTGGAAAGACTCAGAGACCTCGGACCGCTGTCATCGCTAACATTTCCTTCGGATTCCTCCCCCTCGCTCTCTATTTCGTCCCTTTCCTGTGCCTCTGCTCCTGAGCCCCTGACAAGTATGTTTTTGATTAGCTGTTTCTTCCCTATTTTCTTATTCTTGAAACTTTGCAATGGAATTTGATATTTTCCCACTGTCTTAGCAAATAAATTACCGTATTTCCCTTAAGGGGAAATGTGTGTGCGTCCTATGGAGAGAATGCAGGCTCCTTGGCTTCAGTGATAGCAACGCGAAGCCTCCGAAGTGCAGAGGGAGCACACCCTCCGTGCTCTGGAGGCTTCGCGTTGCTTTTGCTGAAACCTGGAGAGCGAGAGGCGTCGGTGCGCACCAACCCCTCTCGCTCTTCAGGCTTCAGGGATAGCCGCCTGAAGTCTTCGGCGCGCAGCAAGAGTTCCCGCTGTGCTCCTCAGGCTTCGGGTTCCTTTCGCTGAAGCCAGGAGAGTCTTGCTCTCCCGGCTTCAGCAAAAGGAACCCGAAGCCTGAGGAGCACAGCGGGAACTTGCGCTGTGCTTGGAAGGCTTCAGGGATAGCTGCGCGCAGCCCCTCCGGCAGGGAGAGTCTGCACGCGGCTATGGCTCTTTAGCCCCACGCAGCCTCTCCCGGCTGGAGAGGTTGCGTGCAGCTAAAGAGGAAGCCAAGACAGCGAGCGGGATCCATCCCACTCGCTGTCTTGGCTTGTGCCATAGCTGCGCGCAACCCCTCTGGCAGGGAGAGGTTGCGCGCCGCTAAAGAAGAAGCCAAGACAGCGAGCGTGATGGATCCCGGGGCAGCCACAGCAGCTGGGAAAATCTGGGAATAAGATTTTTTTTTTCTTGTTTTCCCCCTCTAAAAACTAGGTGCGCCCTATGGTCCAGTGCGCCTTATGGAGCGAAAAATACGGTATTAGAAGTCTTATGGTTACACGTGTCTTTAGGAACATGCATATATACCTCATCTACACATGAACCCCCAAGCACAGTGTAGTGTCATGGTTAGAGTGTTGGACCTGGGAGACCAGGGTTTGAATCCCCACTCAGCCATGAAGCTCACTGGGTGACCCTGGGCCGGTCACAGTCTCTTAGCCTAACCTACATCACATTGTTGTTGTGAGGATGAAATCATAGAATTGTGGAGTTTGAAGGGTCATCTGGTCCAACCCCCTCCAATGCAGGGGTCTCAACTGAAGCATCCCTGACAGATGGCAATCCAACCTCTGCTTAAAAACCTCCAAGGAAGGAGAGTCCACAACCTCCAGAGGGAGACAGTTCCACTGTCAAGCAGCTCTTAATATCAGAAAGTTCTTCCTGATATTTAGTCAGAGTCTCCATTCTTGTAACTTCTACCTTCTGTGATCTTACATGTATTGCCTTAACTAAGTGGTGTGCAATTGGTTCAGTTTCTTTGCAGGGCTCTATCCATGATTAAAATCTGTTGCTTTCATTTCTTATGGTATGAATTCATTTCTTTAATGTACTGATTGATATTTTCAGCCCTGCTGATCAGTAATATTCAGAAACTACTTTATAAATCCATGATGCTAACATAAAGGGATGAACTGCAGCCCTTGTTTCCTCAAGGTGAATTGACTTTTTGTATACCTAGAGAGGTATTTGTTGAGAACAGGAAAAATGTATCAGATTTAGTTATAATTTATATGGATTGCTTTTATGTTCTAACTTTGTTTTATTGTATTGTATTCAGAAAAGGTTGAAAGCTGCAGAAGCAGAAAGCAAGCTAAAGCAAGTATATATTCCTAATTAGTAAGTGCCTGTTATTATATATATTTACAGATGGAATGCAAATATTATAGCCATTCTTTCTTGTCTTGCAAACTTATGTATGTGAATTTTTAACCATGAAATAGATGTTACATTCTCTAACAGGGCATTCCAATGCATGCCTACTCTGAAGCAAGTCTGATTTTCTTCAAGGGGTCTTAGTCCCATGGATGTGTGTACAGGACCGCAGCATAAATGTTGTAATGTATGTTGCTGCTAAGAAGCTACACTTGTCTCAAACCCTCAACCAAAACAGCTTTGATTCTCCTAGGGATCCCAATATGGATTGTACATACGCAGGTTATCATCTCTTGTGAGACAGGGCATTGTATTGGTTCTGTACTAAATTGAAAATGAAGCTTTGGTTAGAGAGGAAAACAAATTTTTGATCCATTGCTGTACGTGAGGGTGTTTTCATCCCCTCCCAGATGTGCACAGAGGTGGGCTGCGTTTGTGACAGTGGCTTCACATTTTAAACAAACTAATGTGAAAATTCTATTATTAAGGTAGGTAGCCGTGTTGGTCTGACGCAGTTGAAATAAAATTAAAAAATAAGAAAATTGTCCAGTAGCGCCTTAGAGACCAACTAAGTTTGTTCTGGGTATGCACACATCTTCAGATACCCGAAGAAGTGTATCTGAAGAAGTATGCATGCACACGAAAGCTTATACCCAGAACCAACTTAGTTGGTCTCTAAGGTTGGTCTCTAAGGTGCTGACTATGCAAAAGCCTTTGTCGACCACAGCAAACTATGGCAAGTTCTTAAAGAAATGGGAGTGCCTGATCACCTCATCTGCCTCCTGAGAAATCTCTATGTGGGACAAGAAGCTACAGTTAGAACTGGATATGGAACAACTGATTGGTTCAAAATTGGGAAAGGAGTACGGCAAGGCTGTATATTGTCTCCCTGCTTATTTAACTTATATGCAGAAAGGCTGGGCTGGATGAACCCCAAGCCGGAATTAAGATTGCCGGAAGAAATATCAACAACCTCAGATATGCAGATGACACAACCTTGATGGCAGAAAGTGAGGAGGAATTAAAGAACCTTTTAATGAGAGCGCAAAATATGGTCTGAAGCTCAACATCAAAAAAAATGAAGATCATGGCCACTGGGCCCATCACCTCCTGGCAAATAGAAGGGGAAGAAATGGAGGCAGTGAGAGATTTTACTTTCTTGGGCTCCATGATCACTGCAGATGGTGACAGCAGCCATGAAATTAAAAGACGCCTGCTCCTTGGGAGAAAGGCGATGACAAACCTAGACAGCATCTTAAAAAGCAGAGACATCACCTTGCCAACAAAGGTCCGTATAGTTAAAGCTATGGTTTTCCCAGTCGTGATGTATGGAAGTGAGAGCTGGACCTTAAAGAAGGCTGATCGCCGAAGAATTGATGCTTTTGAATTATGGTGCTGGAGGAGACTCTTGAGAGTCCCATGGACTGCAAGAAGATCAAACGTATCCATTCTTAAGGAAATCAGCCCTGAGTGCTCACTGGAAGGACAGATCGTGAAGCTGAGGCTCTAATACTTTGGCCACCTCATGAGAAGAGAAGACTCCCTGGAAAAGACCCTGATGTTGGGAAAGACTGAGGGCACAAGAAGAAGGGGACGACAGAGAACGAGATGTTTGAACAGCGTTCTCGAAGTTACAAACATGAGTCTGACCAAACTGTGGGAGGCAGTGGAAGACAGGAGTGCCTGGCGTGCTCTGGTCCATGGGTCACGAAGAGTCGGACACGACTAAACGACTAAACAACAACAAGGTGCTACTGGACAATTTTCTTATTCTTTTTATACTATTAGAGAAGAGCATAAGGAAGGACTGCTCTTCTCTCGCTCTCGCTTACTCTCACGCAGGGCCTGCAAAGGCAAACACCAGCCAGAAGCTCTTGACCTTTGGGAAGGGAAAAGAGGAAGATCTAAGCAGGGAAATAACTCGGAGGGTGTAAAGGTATCCAGGAACTTCTGGCACGTTCGGGCTGTTACAGGTTCAGACATTGACTACATTAGAAAAGAATGGAGTGGCTCTAGAATGATGGTTTCCAAACACACAAAGATGTTTTAAAAAAGCCTAGTGCTCTCCTCCATGAATTTGTCTAATCCTCTTTTAAAGCTGTCCAAGTTGGTGGTCGGTTCCATAGTTTAGGTGCTGCACGAAGAAGTATTTTTAAAAAAATATTTTTTATTAAGGATTTTCTTGTTTTACAGAAGTGTAGTGCCTCGTATTTTTCTTCTTCTTCCATGTAACATTTTTACAAATCCGTTTCATTTGTTGTGGCATTAGGGGGAGAAGAAAAAAGAAAGAAAAAAGAAAGGGGGGGTGGAGAGAGGGAAGATGGATGGGGGTGGGGTCGGGTGGCGGTGTTTCTATTATGTTTAATGTATGTAGAGTTTGGTGTCAGTGTTGCTTGTATTGTTCACTTGTGTTCCTTTGGTGGTGAGAGAGGTTGGGGTTGGCCTAGGGTGTGATTGTTTGCTTGTGATTGGCTGTGGTGATCTTTGTTTTCGTGTGTGAGTGAGGTGTGTGTGTGTTTTGGATCAGGTTAGCCATATTGATTTGTATGCTGTTGGTGGATTATTGTCATTGTCCTGTTGGGTTGTGTATGTGATGAAGGGGAGCCATACCGGGGTGAAGGTGTCTTCTTCTGTTTGTCCCCGTGTCAGTTTCAGTTTATTAGTTAATTTTTCTAGTAGGGCTGTTTCCCATACTATTTGGTACCATTGGTCCATGCTTACTCCTGACAGGTCTCTCCAGTGTCTGGTTATGGTGTTTCTGGCTGCTGAGAGCAGGTGGGTTATGAGTTCTTTGTGGTGTAAATGGGCATTGTTGTCTTGGAAGATGTTTAGTAGGGCCAATTCTGGGGTGATGTCTATTACTTGCTTAGTTATTTTACATATTTCTTGTATGGCTGTTGTCCAGAATAGTTGAATTTTGGGACACTCCCACCACATGTGGAGGTATGCTGCACGAAGAAGTATTCATGTCTAGCTCACTGATCAGTAGTTACCTGGTTCTTCTTTCCCCCCTTTTTGAAGATGGCTCAGCGCCAAGGGATTTGGTGGTGGGACACTGAGGAGAGGTCATAGGGAGAGACTTGGGGGAGGAGCTGGACGTTGAAGGAGCAACAGGGTTTAGTGGGCAGGAAGAGACAGGGAGCAGCAGTTCAGACTCCGAGGCTGAAGCAGAGGAAGTCAAGAGGCTGCAGAAGAATCCATGGAGTCTCCCCCTCCTGCTGTGACAAGCTCCCCTTCCCCTTGGTATCCCAAGAACACACAGAATGAGGAGGAGGGCAGAACAGAGGCCAGAGGTGCACAGCTTGAGACTGCTTGGGAAACATCTGGGAGAGGAGAAGCCTTAGAAAGGGTGGAAGTCAGGGACCTTCATTCCTGGCAACTGCTCCATAGGGGCAAGACCTTCTGGGGAGCGTTGCTGAGTTTTATGCCATTTCGTTGAATAAGGAGTCGACTTCACCGACAGCGGAGCCGTATGTCTTTTGTACTGACGTGCGTCTGACTCCAGCCCTGACAGTTATTATTGCTTCAAAACTAAAACTCAAATTCAGGAATGAAGATAGCTATTGGTTTTTCTGTAAATTGTTGATCTTCTGTTGCACTTTGAAAAATGGATCATGTATTTAATATGCTATAATGTAGCATTGGTGCAATGTTTACTATTTATTTCTTTATTGCATTCATTTATATCCCACTCTTCAGAACATAAATCTTTCCAAGCCAGATTATAGGAAACATTAAACAATTTTTTTTAAGAAAGCACAAATAACGAAAAGCCAATAGAATCATTTCCAAAGTACAATTGATAGTAGAACTCCTGGAAGGGAGGATATTTGCATTTTGTGAAGAACAAATAAAGTTTGATAAAAATAAACAACAAATGTGATACATTGTTTTGCTGAGATGTAGATGAAAATTCAATAATGCCTGTGGAACCTCTGCAAGTTTTAACTGCATGTATAGCTTTTAGTCACCTGTTACTTCTCAATTATGTAGTTCTTGAACCGTTTAGCACTAAGAGATTTGACTGGGGGATTTACAGTTCCATTTGAGGAGGGGGACTGGCTACACTACATTCCTCTCTAAGTTTGTGAAACTATTTTATGTTAGAACTACTGAATCAGAAATGGGAGATACTCAATATTTATTTACCATGTCTGAAGTATCAGAAGGTTGCATGTTCCCTTGGTTGTTGGCATCCGTCTGTCTCAGGAGACGGTGGAAGTGTGTGCCTTCGGGGGTGAAGTCAACCCATTGGAGCACCTGCTGTGGCCGATAACAGGAAAGACATGTTTTGTTGCAGTGAAGGCGTCTGGTGGTGCTGATGGCATTTCTTCCCATAAACTAACCACCCATTTCCTGTTTTTCATTTCTTTAAGTAACAAGCCAAACCCCAACCAGATCAATGTCAATAATATCAAGCCGGGAGTGGTAAATGGTACAGGAGTTCAGGCACAGAACACGGGCACAGGACGAGCCTGCGAAAGCTGCTATGGTAAGTGATTTGTGAATATAGCCCTGTGTGCAAGAAAAAGAAGCCCTTGAGGGGATGCAAGTCCAGTCTTATGTGCCCTTTTCTTTTTAATAGATTTTAATTTTTAATAAATTTTATTGAATAATACAAGAATATCAAAACAAATTTCAAACATATCCATATAGACATAATTGTTTACATATTTGCCAAACAAAGATTATAGAAAAAGATAAAGAAAGAAGAGAAAAGAAAGAAAAAAGACAGAAAAAAAGAAAATACTTTCCATAAACAGTAATACCAAATTTGTGCTTACACACATTACAAAATACAAATCTTAGTTAAAATATTTTAAAAGACTTCCACCGCATGCACCACACGTCTTTTATTATCTAATTCACCTTTACCTCTGTTCTTCACTTCCTTCCCTTAGGTTCTTCCCTAATCCATTAAATCTTTGTATTCTTTATAGTCTTCACAAGTTTAATCTAAACACAACCAAATTTTTGTGATTGAGCCCTGTTTATGTAAATAGTCATTTAAACAATCCCACTGTTTCTGTACCATAGTTTTTGGTTTTTGCCTTATTAAGTCCGTCAATTTAGCTAACTCCAGGTACTCACATAGTTTACTTAACCATTCTCTTTTTGTTGGGATATTATTTCCTTTCCAGTGGCTGGCTATCAGTATTCTCGCTGCTGCTGTTGCGTATACAAATATATTGATTTTGTCTTTAGGAATATCTTTACTCAAGATTCCTAATAGGTAAGCTTCTGCCCTTTTGCTATGTGAAACCTTTATCAATTTTTTAATCTCTTCATGAATCATATCCCAGAAAGTTTTAATCTCTGGACATGTCCACCACATATGGTATAGGGTACCCTTCATCCTGTTGCATCTCCAACATTTGTTACTGTTCGTTCTATTCATTTTTGATAATCTATCTGGAGCCAAATACCATCTGTGGTGGATCTTCATGTAACTCTCCCTCAATAAATTGCAGGCTGTAAAGTTTATATTTCCCCCCAAATTTTTTTCCAGTCTTCCAAATCTTTTAGAGTAGACACATACAGTCGTACCTTGGAAGGTCGAACGGGAATCGGTTCCAGAAATCCGTTCAACTTCCCAAAGTGCGGCTTCTGAGTTGGCTGCAGGAAGCTCCTGCAGCCAATTGGAAGCCGCAGAAGCCCCCGTCGGACGTTCGGGGTTCCAGAGAAAGTTCACAAACCGGAACACTCACTTCCAGGTTTATGGCGTTTGGGAGTCAACAAGTCCGAATACCAAGGTGTTCAGGATCCAAGGTACGACTGTATTTTTAATCTGTGACTCAGGGCCAAACACTTACCACCTCCCCTCTTGTCTTGCTTCCTGGAGAAGCCTGGCTTGTTGACTGTGCCAAGTTGCTAGGAGAAGCACCACTAGGACAGGAAGTGGTTGTATGATATGGGACTGGTCCTGTCACCCATGTCCCCTGGCATCATTTGGTGCAGTAATGGAGGAGACTAAGGAACAGGGAAGTTTGCCATCTCGCTTTATTGGCCAAGGGAGCCGGCGTACAGCTTCCGTGTCATGTGGCCAGCATGACTAAGCCACTTCTGGCAAACCAGAGCAGCGCATGGAAACTCCATTTACCTTCCCCGCCGGAGTGGTACCTATTTATCTACTTGCACTTTGACGTGCTTTTGAACTGCTAGGTTGGCAGGAGCAGGAACCGAACAACAGGAGCTCACCCCGTTGCGGGGATTCGAACCGCCGACCTTCTGATCGGCAAGTCCTAGGCTCTGTGGTTTAACCCACAGCGCCACCCGTGTCCCTTTTATCACAGAATACTACCTTGCTATTGATAATTATAGAGGATACTGAATGAAAAGGAGGTTTTACCTAGGAGCAAAGCTTTGGCATAATTTCTTAACTTGTTTAGTTTCCTTTATATGTATTTCTTAACCTAGAGTGGATCACAAAGTGCCCACAGGGAATGCATAATCTAAATCAGTATCGCTTGGGTCAAAATTGGGTTGGGGTGGAGTTCAAGCAATGTTTAACTTGACAAACAAAGGACAACGCTCCTGCTTTTGTTTCTTAAAGCATCCTTCTGCTTCCCTTTCACACTCCCTTTTGCTGAGGAACTATAGCAGTCTCTTGACCTCTGCACATAAGATTCTCAGGTCAAGGTTCCTTACTCCACTGCCCAGGCTAGACATGGAAAGGTTCCCAGCCCATTGTACCATTTTATACTTATGGGGTGGTGTAATGGTTCTAGGGGTTGCTCCGTGCGTAAGTTGCCGCCACTCCTGGCTAGGTTACCTGGTTGAACCCTTTCTGTCTGGACAGCCTCAAGTTTCGTGGCTGTCTCAGTCGCTGGCAGAATCCGTCAGTGGGCGTTTCTTGAACCTTTCCCAGCATAAAAGCTGCTTGACGCCAAGTCTCCTCCTACTCTCCCTGCGCGGAAGTCTCCTGCGCAGGGAGGGTGTGGACAGCGGAGTACCCGTACTCTCTCCGCTGGTCTCCGGCGAGGAGTCCTGGAGCCTCCTCTCCGATTCCCCCATCTGCCCCCCTTCTCCACTGGTGTTACGCTGATTTCCTTCCCCAGCAGATGGGCTGCCTCTCTCCCTACTGGACCCTCTCTGGCATCCCTCTGGAGCCTTCCCTCCGCCTCTAGCTCCGATGGCAGTTCCCTGACAGGTGGTTTTAAAAAGAAAGGAAAAGTATCCCACCTCTTAATGCTCTCAAGTGCTCACTCTTGCCATAGTCCAGGTTAAAAAAACTCACAGCCAAAACCACACCCATTGTGTCACTGCTGAATTATTTGCTTCATTGATAATTATCTGAGATGATAGATGCGCCTTTAGAAGTAATATTGATTTATCCCAGCACAGACCTTCCAGACGGTGGTGCCACGACTCCACAGTGAACATTGCCTTCAAATTTTAAAATTGGTTCAATTATCTTGCAAATAATTATTAACGGGATGGTTGCTCGCCTTCTGTACTTATCTCGCCACAGTGGTACTGTGAAATAGCTTCTAATCTCTTTATATACCAGTTTGCTGAGGTAAACACACAAGGGAGTAGAGCGAAGAAGGTAATCTTCCAGGAGTATTATGCTAAAATAGGGCAGTACTATGGAGGCTGCACTTTCTCACTTCTTGTTTTTGAAAGTCAGTAATCCTTTTTTTGTTATTAAAAAGGAAGCACTGCAGAAAACTTTGTTCTTTGTTTCACATAATGAAGCTGTGTGGTTACTGGTCTTGGACTGGTTCTGCTAGTTTTTCATAGAAGATTGAGCTATAAATTTATTTGCTAGACTGCTTGCATCTACGCAACGCAGTGCCACACAAAGTCTGCCCAGCTTTCCATGTTAGCTGTGGGGAATAATAATAATAATAATAATAATAATAATAATAATAATAGTAAATTATTTCTACCCCGCCCATCTGGCTGAGTTTCCCCAGCCACTCTGGGCGGCTCCCAGTCGAGTGTTAAAAAACACAATACAGCATTAAAATAGTTAAAAACTTCCCTAAACAGGGCTGCCTTCAGATGTCTTTTGAGAATAGGATAGCTGCTTATTTCCTTGACGTCTGATTGGAAAGGCATTCCACAGGGTGGGCGCCACTACCGAGAAGGCCCTCTGCCTGGTTCCCTGTAACCCTCACTTCTCGCAATGAGGGAACCACCAGAAGGCCCTCGGAGCTGGAAAGCCTGTCGTAAAAGACCCAATGCAGTTTTGTCCTGTAGGGTATGGGGGGGGGGGGCGGGGGCGGGGAGTATTGCTAGTCAACCTGGGAAAGATGCAGATGGCACAAAAAACACTTGCAGAAACTGATCCCCATTTCCAGAACAAGCTTAAACATATCATTTTCTAAATGTGCTATTAAATTAAGATATTAGTATGTTTCTGAACATGGCAAAATACTTTTCCTATTATAACACAAAAGTAAGCCTTTCTTGCCATATACGGTAAAAGCAAGCTGCTGTCATATATTGGAAAGCTAGGTTGTTTATCTTTTGCAGAGTCTCAACAGATAGCGGCATGCAAAGGAGTCCTAATTGATATCTGCTTTGCTGTTCCCAGTGACGCAGTTCACCAGTGGTATTCTTGGGGTCCTCCTAACATGCAGTGTCGTCTGTGTGCATCTTGCTGGACATACTGGAAGAAATATGGAGGCTTGAAAATGCCTACACGGCTAGATGGAGAACGGCCAGGGCCAAATCGAAACAATTTGGTAGGCACATTCACCATATTCAGTTAGTAAATCAATCCGCAGTTCACCACTGTGGTTCCTTAGGCCAAGAACAAAAAGATAAGGCAAGGTCCAAGGTGGACCAAGGCTCCTCCTCACAAATTTTCCTTTTCCCAGAGTCCTCACAGTGGACCCTTGAGGAACAATGGGAGCCCCAAGTTTGCCATGAAAACGCGACAAGCTTTCTATCTCCATACTACAAAGCTGACCAGACTCGCCAGACGATTATGCAGGGACATCTTGCGTCCGTGGCACGCGGCACGGCACCCTCATTTGCCTATCAACAGTGGAGCAATCAAAGCTGAATGTGAGTCTTTCTCGTCCTAATTGCATGATGTCAGCTTACATGCCTAACAAGAGTTTATGCTATCAGAATTGTGGTAGGAGTTGTGTTGTGTTGAGTTGTGTTGAGTTGAGGGAAATGGGATCTAAAGAAATCAGGCAAACTCTCTGACTCTCTCGACCTCTCTATGGTTGAGAGCAACTGGGGTAGCAGAAGGAAGAAAAATGGGGGAAGAGAGTAAAATAGTTTGTCAAGCCGTTATAATGCTATAACATGCTCACAATTGGCGCTGTCAGCCCTGTAGCACAGTAGTGAACGATCTGGGGGGTAGGTGAAGAAAACTCCTCAGTTTGTCCTCACCAAGCCTATAAAAGTACATTGCAAGCTGGGCAGGAGTACTTTTGTTAAGGGCTGGGAATATACTCCCAACATTGTGATTCAGGCCTAATTTGTATTAAATATTACTTTTTGTGCATTTCTTTTACGTTGAAATGCTTCAGAAAACTCTGGCTTTGTTATCAAAAAGGCTGTTTGTTAGGTTTTTTTTGTTAGCATGTAAACGAAGTCTTATTTGTTCCAATATTGTCTTCAGGTGCATCTCGTTTACCAGAAGCTTCAGAAGATTTGTTGCTATTAAAACATGTTGTCAGAAAACCTTTAGAAGCAGTACTTCGGTATCTAGGTAAATAGACTGCTGAATCGTATACATGCATTTTGGT